ACAACACTGCTGTTAAAGATGGTTATGATCCTGTTGCTTCACTTTTGTCTCGTCATGGAGCTGCTTTGCATGTTCAGTAAGATTCTATGTTTTAAGGTTATGACTGGAATTTTGTTCATTGTCCAACCAGATAATTAGGGTTTCTTAGACATCCCCTTGATTTCAAATGTATCTTTTCTACCAAGTTCACATACTAAATATCTTATTGCAGCTGCTTAGAAATGATGGATGGTGATAACCCGGCATCCTGTCTTTGTAGCCCAGAAGGATTACTCTAACAGGTACGAGGCCTGTTGTAAATAATGCTTCCTTAGGTTGTTGCTTTGTTGGCACTTATTTACTTTAGATATTTTTTGTATAATTCAAGCTTTTAAGTTAGGTAGGACTAGCCCATGCAGCTGTGTTTGGCACGGCAGGTCGTGCAGCATCTCTGGGTTCAACGCAGGGTCTCTGGGTTCAACATGGACTTGGAACGGGCCAATATGAGTTTTTTTTAGTATTACAGATACTGGGTATTATTGATCAGTTTTTTAGGTTTCTTTTAGTATTTTATAATTCATTATGAGGTAATTCTTTAGTTTTAATTGGGTTGTCTTGCCTGGATAATAAAAAAGAAGCATATGACAAGTTCATCAATAATCATTTTCTGTTTTATTGAAATTTGGAATACAATTTTGATATTAATAGAAAACAAATATAGAATTGCATCACTATACCGTATATCAGTATCTTACTACTTTGGATTGGCAGGGTCTGTCCATTTACACCGCTGGGTGGTGGTAATGGTGGCTTGCTGATGGCTTTCTTCTATAAAATGTCTGGCCTTATGCTTTGTTTATTGTATATTTAAAATATTATACAATTCCAATGTAATCTAACATGATTCAATTTGCACCAGATATGGAGTGTTTCAAAGAAAAGGATACAGTTGATCGGGAGAAATACCGATGGACGATTTGACAGGGTAAATTCATCCTTTGCTCGATAACAAAAGCAAATTTCAAGTCAGTTTACCAAAAGAAAAGAAAAAGCAAATTTCAGGTACCATTTATTTCTGTTAGACATATATTGGATATTGCAAATGTCATATAACTAGAAACACATGGCTTCTGATAGTGTTTAATAGTTAACCACTTTTTCTTTTGCCCATTTTGTCCTGTGTATTCACGCGTTTGCTTTTCTCCTGCAGTTTGGTTTATGGCAAATACATGCTAACGGTTACCATTCCCAGGCCTTAGCAGTAAGATCATTTACGTATTTCAGAATGAATGATAAGATCTTTAGGGTTGAAAATTGGAGTAAATTTGTTCCTTTTGTTAAAAAAATGAGCACAAATTGGTAAAGTAGCCAAAAAACCCAATTTACCAGTAAGTTTATTGAACTACCTAGAGGAGCAGCCTCACTGCCCAATAATTTTTTCTCAAGGGCATGTGTAGAAGTTTGTAACTTTCTGATATGTTGACTGAAATAACTTTGTGTTCCCATGACAGGCGTTCTTGAGATGGAAGTGTAAATTTTTGAAACAGATTTGGTTGGCCGTAGAAACTGAATGCTTTACTACCAAATATGGGAAGAATAATTGGAATTGCAATTTTGGTACTACTGGTCTCATTGCATTGACAAATCCAGGTACGGCATTTCAACTTTAGGAATATCATCATATTGTCATATCTGTCACTATGAGAAAATAATGTAGTCTTTGCAGATTGAAAACAACAATAAGAAAATGGATCCGAAAATATAGAGAACAAAAAGAACTAAGAGTTCACTCCTCCACAGTCCTTCAAATACTTAGTCTTGATTTTGGTGAGTGTGATTGCAGCATCTTTCATGTTAATCCTCTCTCCCGGCAATGCTGTAGAGCAAGCTAAAGCTAATCTCATAACGGATGATAAGCAATCCCTCCTGCTCACGAAATCACCATCTTCCTCCGCCCCAAGTATATCGGCACCCACAACTTCACCTATTGCAGCATCTGGAAATAATGAATGTGCAATCCATTGCTTTAAATCCATTTCCCCAACAAACATCTCGTCTGTTGGCTTCCTTTTTGTGAATGTCTCCATGAGTACAATACCAAAACTATACACATCCCCTCTTGTCGAAATGCTTCCTTTCAACCCAAACTCTGCAAAATTTGTATGTGAATTTAGTTATATATGATAAAAAGAAAATTATAACTCCTAATAAGACCAACATGTACAAAATTGAGAAAATACATCACCTGGAGCCATATATCCAATTGTGGCTAGGGTCATGGTTTCTGTCATCGAAGCTCCACCGCTGATGAGTCTTGCAATGCCAAAATCAGCAATATGTGCAACCATATCATCATCTAGTAGTATATTGCTTGGTTTCACATCACAATGAACGATAGGTATCGAGTAACCATGATGAAGATATTCTAGTGCCAATGCAACATCTTTCATTATGTCTAACCTCTGCAGGATAGTCATGGAGCGGTTTGGAGAATACAACCACTTTTCGAGGCTTCCATTAGGCATCAATTGAAGTATCAGGGCTTTGAAATCAAGTTCATCGCAGCAACTTATGATTTTAATAAGATTCCGGTGACGGATATTGCTTAGCATTTCACATTCCTTATCAAAACTCTTGAATGCCCCTTCTAGCTGTAAATTGAAAACCTTAACGGCGATATCTATCCCGTCTGAAAGTGTTCCTCTGTATACTGAGCTAAAACCCCCCGTGCCTAGTAAGTTACTCTCATGAAATCCATTTGTTACCTTTACAAGTTCTAGGCGCGAAATTCTTCTCCAAAGAACTTGATGTAGCGAGGCAGTTTCTCTAACAACTTCGACATTCCTTTTCTTGCATTGTATCAGAATCAATGCAGCGGTCGCTAGGAGTATTACTGATATGACCCCTGACATGATATATTTAGCTTTCCTCCAATTTGGCTTAACTTTTGTTCTATTTTTGCACAGTGGAACACGGAGTCGGGAAGCGTCGCAGAGCGCACTGTTTGATAGAAATGAATCAGCAGAGAAGTTTCCGAAAGGCCCGCCGGTTGGAATTTCTCCTTGGAGTTTGTTGAAAGACAAATTCAGATGCTTGAGATACAAGAGTGCTTCCAATGACTTTGGGATCACTCCAGATAGGTTGTTTTTGGACAAATCCAAGAATTCTAGGCTCAGCAAGGTTTTAAAAGAATTGGGAATAGGGCCTTCTAAATAATTGTTTGCCAAGGATAAATCAATCATATTCTGAAGACCACCAATGCTACCGGGAATGTTTCCGGAGAAATGGTTATTTGATAAATCCATATCCACCACATTTTTCAACTTTCCGATGTCTTCTAAGAGTGGTCCAACTAGAGAATTGGATGACAAATTTAGCTCCAATATATACTTGAGTTCCCACAAGGAAGATGGTATTTTAGAAAATAACAAATTGGACCCTAAGGATAGACCTCTTAGAGCTATTGACAAATTACCCAAGCAGGAAGGAATAGAACCAGTGAGCTGATTACCACCCAAATGTAATATGGCTAGGTTGTTTAGTTGACAGAGTTCATACGGGATATGTCCTCGCAGTTGGTTATCATTCAAAAACAAAGCTTGGAGATTTTGTAGCCTTTGTATTGAACTTGGAATTGCTCCACTGAACTGATTGTTTCCCAGGTCTAATGATATCAAGCTGCTCAAGTTGCCAATATCAACTGGAATGGTACCCCTGATGTTGGAACTTCTTAAATCAACATATACGAGTGACAAAGAGAGATTCCCTCGAGAAGTTGGTATTGTGGTGTTTAGTGGATTATCTCTTAAGTGTAATCTTGTCAAATTTCTAAGATTAAACAAGCAAGAGAGAGTGCTTGCTGCTTGTGGAGTAGAAGCATCAATTGTCAAATTATTCGACTCCAATAAAAGAAGCTCGAGGTTTTTCAAGGAACAGAGCGTTCTAGGAAGAAACCCGGTTAATGAGTTTTGGGCCATTTCTAGCGCCTTGAGCTTGGAAGCATTGGAGAGGTTAGGGAGTAGCCCGGACACGAGGTTATTTCCTGCTACAGCAAGGATTTCTAGGTTTGGAACGTTAAGACCTATGTTTGCTGGGAGGCTACCTGTGAGCTGATTATCAGAAAGTGCTATTAGTCTTATCATGGAGTTATTGAAGAGTTTGGATGGGATGATGCCATTGAGATTATTAAGATCCAATGCCAAAATCTGTAACTGTGGAAGATCACCAATCTCATCTGGTATTGTACCTGTCACAATTTCAGCATGTTTGCATTAAATTTTTAACTTCAGTTTAACTAAAAACTAAAAACGAAATGATTATCAAACGGTCATATATTTACTACCTGTTAAATTATTGACAGCAAGATAAATCTCGGTTAAGTAGGTCAAATTGCCAAGACTTTTGGGTATGCTTCCATGGAAATTGTTAACCGCTAATGAGATTCCACGAAGCTCTTTGCATTGCCACAGTTTGGAGGGAATCAGACCGTCAAGTTGGTTGTGACCCAAATCTAAATCTTGAATACTTAGAAGATGCTCACAAAAATTGTTCGGAAGACTGCCACTCATGTTGTTATCGGATAGAGCCAAAGTAGTCAAAGAAGATATGTTGAGGATAGGCACAAGAGCAGAGCCTTTTAGGGCATTGTCCCACATAAACAACTCCTCCAGTTGACCTAAACTGCCCATCTCGTTTGGAAGTTCTATAAATCAATATGTATATATTGTTAAAATCATGCAAACATATATAGGAGTAACTTCTTACTGGGAATCCCATTCTACCGTAGCAAAACTCGGATAACATTATAAGGACTATGCACTCACTATATAGGTTCTTTTTTAGCTCCAGCATACGAGGGTCTTACACAGTAAATATACGATCCCTATGATAATCCTCTTATTTCATTTTTGCTAAAGTGGAACGAGATTCCTATTAAGAAGAGGCTCGTATCTAAACTACCTAGTACTTATTAATAGAACTCTGCTCTCAACCAAAACTATATGAAATTACAATTTTAACCCTCACACCAAAACTGCACAAAAATAAAAAAATATGGGTAATAATTACATGAACATAAATTTTGCTATTATTTACGGCAACCTCACAGCCAGGTCATCAAAGCATGCCCTATTTAAAAATTAAAATAAAATAAAATAGTAAATAAAAAAACATGCCTACTTTAGAAGAAACTACTCATCATTGTCCCAATTTTTATAATTGATTTCTTTTTTTTAGAATTTTAAAACTAATCACACTTCATAGTAAAATAAAAATGAAATGAAATGAAATTATTCACACACAGTGTGTGTGGGCATCTGCTAGTATACATGTAACAAAACCTAAGTCATACACTATACCTTCGAACTTGTTGTCTTCAAGGTATATTAACTTCACCATTGTTAAGTTGCCTATTTCTCTGGGTATGCTACCTGTTAAATATGTGCATGCATGCAAACAAAAACGAAGGGAAAAAAACAAACGAGATGATCATTATAAATCTTAAATATAGATGTTAAAATGTAATGATGAAGCAAGCAACATTAATTGATATTCCTAGATGGTTGGTAATGGTGGTACGTACGTACCTGATAGTTGGTTACTGCTCAGATCAATTTCTTTGAGTGCAGATAAGTTGAAGATAGCAGCGGGTATAAAGCCAGAGAAGCCATTACCATACAATATGAAGATTTGAAGTTTAGCGAACGACCCAAACCACGAAGGAATGGTTCCCATAAAGTTGTTGTTTCCAAAGCAAACCTTCTTCAACCGGCGCAAACGAGACAATTCTTGGGGTAGGGGACCATGAAAACTATTATTCTCAACGCTCAACTCAATGAGAAATGAGAGGTTGCCTAGATGCGGAGGAATAACCCCGGCAAGACCCATGTACGAGAGATTTAAGGCCGTGACTCTGTGGTGGCGAGCACCGCAGGTAACGCCAACCCAGTTGCAAATGTCGAAATTGGAGGCAGAGGACCAGTTAGCGGTCAAGATGTTTTGAGGGTCACTAGTGATGTGAGCTTTGAGAGCAAGAAGTGCAGACTGATCTGTGCTGAAATTGGTATGAGCTATTCCTAATGCACCTGCAGTAAAGCAATTAGCCATAATCATCATATAGATATAACACAAGCAGTGTATCATCGACAACATTCTCGACAGTAGGAAACGACTTCTCTCCATACACAGTATATATATACTCTCCTTAATTGTAGTAGTTTTCGTCTTTCGGTTTTAATTCGATGAGAAACTTGAACTCATTACATTCACATAAATAGGGAAACAAGATGGTGTTACCAAGACTTGTGCACGACATAGGCTTGCCCGGCTTCTACGTCGAGACTTGCATTGCCCGGCTTCTACTTCGAAGTGAGGAGACTTAGACTTCGAACGAAGACCAAACATCATCATTGAAATTTAACAATATTGGTAATTTGTGCTGCATAGCTGGAGATGCCCAAATATGGAATTGTAGTCTTCAGTTCACACTCGATCAAAACAAACAACATAGAATTAAAAAGTTTATTAAAATTTCTTATTTTCTTGGTAATTAAGGAGTTGTTTGATAATCATTTCGTTTTTAGTTTTTTCTTTAGACTTTCATTTTTTTTGAAAATTGAAAACTAAAGTTTAAATTTTGAAAACTCAAGAAAGTAGTTACCAAAGAAGTTTACAATTTTCAATTTTAATAAATGAAAACTGAAAATAAAATGATTAGCAAACAGCCTGTAAATTAGTATAAATATGATAGCCACTAGCACTACGGTCTAGTGATATTTCTTTGTACATATAGACAAGAGGCTTTAAGTTCGACTCGCTTGATGATAAATTTGATACCTAATTATTATGACAACCAACACACGCGTTCCAGCCAGATTCTCATGTTCTGAAACATACTTGTCAACCTCAGGACCAACCTGGACATTGATTTCTCGCATGAGCCCTCTTGTTCCCAACCAAAACCATTTTGTCACCCAACTCTTCCACTAACGCTGTAGACATCGAAATTTCCGTAAATAAATGTTGACCGATAAATCAAAGTGTCAACGCTCATGTATTACATAAATTTTACACGTAGCGTGTGGCTCAACGAAAATTGAAATGAGTTGGAAAAGTCATCAAATAGGACATGTGTCAACACCTGGCAGAAACGACTTATTTCATCTGGAATATTATATTCAAAATTAGGCCTTAGAAAATTCTATAAATACAATCCCATTTCATTCATTTGGGGGGGAACCAATTCATATTACACCTTGAAGCTCTGAAACTCTGAAACTCCGAAGCTCTCAAGCATCTAGGTTCCCGAAGAATCAAGAAAGCCTTCTTCATTCTTCGTCCATCGTTCTTCCAAGATCAAGCCCCAACGGCCCTTTGGATCAACAAACAATCACCAACTCAAGATCAAACCCCGACGGCCCTTGAAGAAAGTGTTCTTCGTTCTTCGTTCATCGTTCTTCCAAGATCAAGCCCCGACGGCCCTTGGATCAACAATCATCCACCAATTCAAGATCAAGCCCCGACGGCCCTTGAAGAAAGTGTTCTTTGTTCTTCGTTCATCATCCGTTCATCCAAGATCAAGCCCCAACGGCCCTTTGGATCAACAATCATCCATCTTCAAGATCAAGCCCAAAAGCCCTTAAAGATCCGTTCATCACTGTTCTTCAAGATCAAGCCCAAAAGCCCTTGAAGACCCGTTCATCACCTTTATTCAAGATCAAGCCTTAACGGCCCTTGAAGAAACACTCATCCTTAACATCAAGCCCCAACGGCTTCTTGAAGATCCGCTCAAATCCATCTTCAAAGATCAAACCCACGGCCCGTTGAAGAAACTTCCAACAGTTCATCCAAAATCAAGCCTCGACGGCCCTTGGATCAACGAAACATCCATAAATCAACACCTTACGGAGATCGAATCAGAGGATCAAAATAGAGAGAGATTGTAACCCAAAATCATCATATACAAATATTTGTTTGTGCACGTTGTTCTTGTCTCTTTCGTTTCAGGAATTTTCCGTGTTCACAAACGCTACCTCCTTTGTGCACCCCAAAGTCATTGGTCTCCATCACATGTTTAGTTGATCCAAACTTTTCTACTAGTTGGAGAAGAGTCCCTGTTTTATCAAAAACAACTGTTCTCACCTGCAGGGATCAAACACGTCCAGCATGACAATATGTCAATAATGTAACCATCAACCTTGTTATAATAATAACGTCATTTAGCATTGTAAGTTATAACCTTATCATAATCATATTACACCGTTAAAGTAGGATATTATACTTAGATATATTTCCATTGCACTACCAACATTCAAATTAAATGGTACGACTACCTTTTTTCTACTAAAAAGTACCATATTTTCATTATGTACTCTAAAATAATTGGTGCTCATATGCATTAGAGAGGGGATGATATTTATAGTATTTACTTTGAGATATTTTCATCTTTTAACACCCAATGAGGAACTTCATGCTAGTGTCATTGCATTTATACGAGAGTCATACATGCATGTACGAATGAGATTATGGTTGGTGCATCTTTTGGATGAAAGAGTAAATATAGTACCGACAAAATGACCATTAAAAAAATATCTTCAGTAATTGCCGGAGAAAAAGTTGACCTGTTTATATAGTTTGAACACGCTTTACATTTTCAATCTCCAGCCGTACAACACTTCACCTATCATGCAATTTGACTTGTCCATGCAGGCCATGAAAGATCAATGTTGAAGTCTTCGTGGGAACTCAAATCACGGGTTGAAATATGCCTGAGACATTATATATTGATTGGCATCCCATAAATCCCAGTGTCTTTTGCTACGTAGAAAAGCTAAAGCATTAACCAGCCAGTTATGTTGAATAAAAACATGTATTATTCTAACATGATGTCACATGTCTACTAACAAACAAGTTTCTAAGAACCAAAACTTGAATTGCCAGAAGTGGCAATGTTTTATGCCTTAGCGTTATGCCTCTTAGCAACTAGAGTTCTTGCCACTAAGGAGGTTGTGGTGGAGATTTAGACTATCAAATCATTTAAGATTGTAGGCAATATTAATGTCGTTCATAATTTATCAATACACATAAGTTACAATTGTTACCAACAAGGTTTTTATGTCATCAATACACGCGTATAGAAAATATGTTCGATATTTACATTATGTACGATATCCTATAGAGGGAGAAAGGGTGTGTTTGATAATGCATGTCAAACTTAAGTTGTGACCTATCAGATCTCGTTAGACTCGTCTATGCTGTATATATTTCTAAATTTCCTTTTTTCTTTTTTGGTTCTCATTGCTTCTCTTGTCTCACTGACTAATTCAAAACATGCATAGCAACAAGGGTTGGCCTTGAGATTTTGGGGGCCCTGTGCGAGGCTCTGAGGGAAGCCCTTAAAAAGTATGAAAATTTGGTTGATATGTTTTCTTTTACATTTTAATTTTTATGATTATGTATAAATTGAGATAAAGAAAAAAAAAAATTGGTGTTCTAGTTAGGTACCTATTTGCATTCCTATGTTTTTGGGTTCGAATCTCCTTATTTTTACATACCTAAAAAAAATCCTTAGAAAGAAGGTCTAACGTTTTGGTTGCAATGTTTCCTTTTACATTTTAATTATGATCATATATAATTGAGATGATGTAAAAAAAAAGGGAATCGTAGTGTGATGGCTAGGTACCTATTTACATCTCCTATGTTTTTTGGTTCGAAACACCATGATTAAATAACAAAAAAAATAAAAATAAAATAAAACACAACTCATGTTTTTAAATACCCAAAAAATTAAAATAAAACACAAAAACCGCCACTGGGTAGAGTCGAACCCAGTTTATGGTACACGGATAAGACGCATAATATAATCGTTCCTAGACTAAAACCCCAAAACGGCGCCACTGTTCACCGACAGTGCGCGGACGAAAATGCCCCCCGTTTTGGTGTTGCTACTACCGCGTTTGGTTGGGTTTTTGTACAGTAAAATTATAGCGGTACCCTTTGTTTGGTTATATTTGACCGAATTGGACTTTGTTTCAGTTTTTTTATAGGAATTTTAACGAAAAACCAGCGGTACTGTTCATTTTAACGAAAAACCACATTTTTACACTAAAAAGTCAAACTTGGTACTATTTACTTTAATGAAAAATCATATTTTTACACTAAAAAGTCAAACTTGATACTATTCATTTTACCCTTTATTTTGTCCTCATTATTAAAACTCAAAGTTTTCAAGTTATTTTCATTAATTTTTCTTTTTTTTATTGGTTGTATTTGTTTTTGCTATAGTTAAAATACAGTTTTGTCAAGGCCACGTGTCTCGCGAGGTACTTTGTCTGGGTTATATTTTCTCCTTTTTTGTTTCCTCTCATTTCCATCTTTGCTTCGCGGTCGCTCTCAGAGCTTAAATTCTTTTCGCCTCCAAAAATTTCTGCTTCGGGTTGTCGCAAATTTTGGTCCTGTTGGTTTCAATCGGTGCTTTCTGTGGTTCTCCAGCCTGCGGTTGCTCGGAAAATACGAAATCAATGTAAGGTTTTTCTGATTTTTAGTTTGGTTGGAAGAAAGAGTTCTCTTTTGTTGTGTCTGAAGATATCAAAAACTAAATCTTTTTCTTTTCCTTAATTTTTTAACCCAGATCATGTTATGGGTTATGATGAGAGATTAAATTGGGTTTGGGAGTTATTTTAACCCAGATCATGTTATGGGTTATGATTTGTTCTTTGAGTTTTTTTGTTTGCTTGATCTCTTATATGAATATGTTTTCTTCTTTGTCTGTAATCGTGGTTATTAAAGTGATGTGTGTTTGTGTATGCTGCAGATCCAATGTATTGAAAATGCTTGCAGTGATGAGGGGATGTGCCTGATAAGGTAATGGATTTAAAATTTTTAATCTGATGTTAGTTTTCTTTTTCATTCTGTATCCATGACTTCATGGTATTAAATTGTTGTTGGAAACTGAAATAAAGCTGAAAATATCATCTGGTTTGTGCAGCAATTGAGTTTACACATTTTGGATTTCTTTCCTTGTTTAAATATTGTTGCATACTTCTTTCGTCCAGATAGTGTAATGTGCGGACAGTGTGTGAGTTGAATAGTTATATACTAGTAATAGAGCCCGCGCGTTGCTGCGGGTTTTAAAAGTGTAAAACATACAATAAGTTCTATACATAAGTATGATCATATTAGGTGTTGAACATTGGAGTTTACATTCCTGTTTACAGCTATATTTACATACATACACTAATTAGCACTATTTAAATTTCGTTGACTGTCACTTTAGAACTTCATTGTTTTATTTTTCACAATATACATGCTTCTCTAATAAAAATAAGAAAAAAACAGAAGTTGTTAATATAAATGAAAATTCAAGTGAGCAGGTAAAGCCAAGCATATATATATATATATATATATAGTATTTACAGTCAGAACATATCAATGGTCCAACTATTGTGGAGCTCGAATTTATATAAGAAAGGACCAATCCAATCATAATTAAAATGAAAACATGTAAGTAATTAAGAATTATTACTTGCTAAAGAAATCCGAACAGCCAGTTCCTTCTTATTGCTTCAGGGACTATTCAATTGAACCAAATCTGATCAAATTGCATCACCCAACCAAACAAACAAAAATAAAGTTAAAAAGGAAAATCAGGGGAGCTAAGGAAAATTTTGAAAACTCACCAAGAACCAAAATGATATAGGAGTTCTAACTTTCTATCATTTTCCTTATTCATTTTGAAAGTGAAAAATTCGTACTCTTTACTTTACCCAAGCATTGAACTGTTATACATTTAATAACAAAAACTGACCTTGATTGGGACCAATAGAGTGCTTGATCATCACATTGCTGAGTTTTATAAGATCTTTCATGTTTACAGCATGTTTATAACTAAATTCATAAAAACACTCAACATCTACATTGGAATGGAATGCAAACTGTGAATCACTATTCACAAAGCACGCAAAAACTGAAAAGAATACGTTAAACAGATAAATCAAACTTTCTAAAGAAGAAAAACAAAAAACACACCTGTAAGTAAAACAACACAAAAGAGAGTGCTCCACCATCACATCTTTTAACATGGATTTCTTTTTACATTGGTAACCATTGTTCCTACCATCTAACTTCTCCAAATTGTCACCTATTTTCGAAAGAAAAATTCGAGAGTCCAATAACTTCTTATCTTTCCATCGTTTTCCTTCTTCATTCCCAAACCAAACAATTTCCACTCTTTACTTTACCCAAGTATTGAACTTTTATAGATTCAATAAGAACACTAACCTCCATTGGAACCAAGAGAGTGCTCCACCATCACATCACTGAGTTTTATAAGATCCTCCATGTTGACAGAATGTTCATAACTAAATTCACGTAAAGGCTCAACGTTCTACATTAGAATACAATGCAACACTGTAAATTACAAACAACAGAACTCGAAAAAACTAAAAAGGATATGGTAATGCATCATTGGCAGCATCCAAATTGACAACTCGATGAAATGGTCAATGCAAACATTATATACAGATTCAAAAACAAAAATTGAAGCCATGAAAAAACTTAAAACCCCACAAAAAAACCAAAATCTTATAGGGGCTTCCTTATATTAATCACACAACGAAATTATGAACAACAAAACATGAAAAAATTGAAAAGGATATGACAATGCATCGTTGGCAAGATCCAGATTGACAACTGCAATTTTCTGCAAGCCGAAACGATGAAATGGTCAATGTAAACATTACAGATAGATTTAAAAACAAAATTGAAGCTAACGAAAAACTTGAAAACCCACAAAAAACCAAAATCTTATAGGAGTCCTATTTTTCCATCATTTTTCTACTTCGAAATAAAATAGAAAACTCTAATTTGAGTGCCTACACATATAAACATCGGATAAAAATCATAAAAAAAATTCAAAACAACTGCAGAGATAACAAAAATGATAAAAAAAAAACACCATAAAAATTTTCAATCAAAAGTTTAAGACACTTTTAACTCACAGGAAGCTCTGTAACTAGTTGCTAGTAGCTGCACAGTGAAAAGACGACTTTGCTGCAAAATAATTAACGTAAGAAATAGTTTAGTATAACTTAAAACACTTTGGGAAGATCATGGGTATAATTGTCATATACCAATTGATTCATAAATTGTGCCTGTCCAACCAAGAAAAGCACCTACCTATATGCACTATGGTATGGCAGACTTTTCATGTGCTCTAGATTCATCATTTGCAAAATATGCATCTGTCGAACAACATAAGTCAATAGAACCTTATCTTAACGGAAAAAAGAAACTACAAAATTTGAACTTCTAGCTAAAAGGCATTCATTAATTTCTTTATATCATTTGAATAAAAAATTATTGCACACAATGAATGTATCCAGTTCACTACAGATTAGTAACCCATTCTAATTTGGTCAACATGATCGAATATGTGTGCGCGTATATATAGCCATTATATGCAAATCCCTAACAGATTGAAGTGATCTCTTAAAACTTGATCTGGCCAATGACTCTGGCAGTCCATCAGACAAATTAGATGGTTTAGTACGTGCTCGATCTCTACTCCTATATCAATATTGTGTAGTGTGGAAACTTTATCTCAGGAAACCTCAATATGCATGAGATATAACATTTGAATCAAGAATTCACAGATACAAAAACTACTTAAAATAATTTTGAAAGTAAGTAAAAAAAATCTGTTGTATGCCTATTACCTTCGCCGACCCAAAAAAGGTTGGAAATATGCTTGAAATTGGCCGGGAAAAACTCGCATCTTCGTTGGAAAAACCCACCCACAAGCTGGGCTAATTGAACTCTTCGATCGAGGGGTAGATTCGAGCATGCAAAGCTCGAATGTTGTTGTTTTCGCTGGAGAATAGCAAGGGGAAAAGGAGAGAAGGGATAAGGAAGGATAAAAAAAAAAAAAATAGTGCATATTAATTTGATCCAGGGACATAATTAGAATAAGGCTAAAACGGAGAGGCTCGCCCAAAACATAAGAAATACCTGCATAAAAGTATTAACACACACAAATAATCTCATTTGAATCTCATATCATGTGTCGCAAGCCAAAACAAAATATTTGAAATTCAGACCAACCAAAACAAACAAAAGTTAATTACCATGAAAGATTATCACAAAATCGCAAGACCCAGACAATCGAGCGGGTTCTACGGGGTGGAAGAAAGCACAAAGGCTATTGCCACGGTGGAGCAAATTGCAGAAGGCAGGGTAGAGAAGACGTCATCGAGAGAACTCGAGAATGGCGAATGGAGGGGATACCCCTTCTGAGATCAGCGAATAGAAACAAATGAGTTTTTTCGACTGCTTTCCTCGCCTTTCCACCGTTTTTTTTTTCCCGATGACCAACACGTGTAGACGTGGGGCAGAACCCGATGACTAACATGTGTAGACGTGGGGCAGAAAAAAAAATCAATTGTAGGAAATGGCGAGAGAAAAGCAAAACAAAAGGCAGAGAATGAAACAGCAGAGAAATGGAACAGAAAAGGCCGCGATGAAGAACGTGTTAAATCCCACCCCCATTTTATTTAAAAATGGTTTTTAGTTCTTAATTGGTGAGCCAAGGGGCCCACCCTTTTATTTTTGTATCCCCCGTGACCCTCTCCTTTCCCTCTTTCCCTCTTTCTTCGTCTCAACCCTCTCGTGCATCTCTCTCTCCCTCTCTCCCTCAAGCTCTCGTCTCTCTCTCTCCCCCTGGATTCTCGAAGACCTTAGCACCATCAGGAGGGACTCCCCACGAAGCAGGGACCCCTGCCCTGCGAGGTAAACGGCACGGAGCAAAGCTCCGACGAGTTTTCTTCCTTTTTCAGTAGGGGTAAGTCTCTAATCTCTCACTCTCGTACCTAGCTAAATGTTTGGTCGTGATTTATAAGCGTGAACCTTCCATTTTTACGTAGGTTTTACCTTGGAAACGTTTTGGGTGAGCACACCCATTTTTCCGGCGAACCCGTGCACTCCGAGGGCTTTTCCGGTCACCTCCGACCGAGTTACGGTGTTTGGAAGGTAGAAATCTCTTCCTCTCTCTTTGTTCTTCATTTCCGTACCTAGATCGGAGCTTGAAGCCCCCATTTTCAGGTGACCGGAGCTGTAGCAGCTCCGGCCTTCTTCTTCCTCGGCACCAGGCCGTCTGGCCTCTCCCATTTCCTCCTCGGGCCTTAGGCCCGTGTGGTCTTAAACCCAAATCCCCAGCCCCTTTTTCTTTTAATTTTGTTAGTTTAGTTTTTAAAAACCCAATGGGCTCGGGCCCTAGTTTTGTGAGGCCTTGGGCCGGTTTAATTAAAGGGCTTAAGCCCTATCTTTTTTTTTATAAGGCCTTAAGGCCTTTATATTTTGGTGGTGTGTGTGTGTGTGTGTGATTAGGCATGCACATGCATGCTGTGCATGTGTGTGTGTGTTTGTTGAATATATGTTTGGGCTTAAGCCCAAACTCCTTTCTTTCACCCTAATAACCTTTTAACCCAAAACCCTAAACCCATCCAATCCCAATCCCCTATTTTAATTTAATTCAAACCAAATCTTTTAGAAAATCCTTTATTTATTAATTATACATTCTTGTTCTTAGGTAAAATTGTTAGTGGAGAAATTCTAAATCCTTATTCGCGCGACTCTTCTGCTAAGGAATATTTGTGAGTGGACCCCTTCTAAAATTACATGATTTGATAATTTAATTGCATAAATGATTAGCATGCCTACGGATTTATGATTTGATTTATGTGAAGCCTGATGATTTAATATATTGATTATCGTCTCGTGTTTTTGGTGAGGAATTAATTGTTGGCCTATATTGAGCTATATTTTAATATATCGTATTTTCTATAAAAACCATGAACTGGTAGACTATCTGATTGATGATGATAGGATGCTAGAACATGATTTTGAACCCTCTTTATAGCGTAGACGATAATCGGTAACCTATGCTACGAAGTGGTATTTATGAGAGGCGTAAATATTTGTGCGTACCTAGTAGACACTATGCCGCCTGGGGCGAGGATCTGGTGTTGGCATGTAGGCCGGGAGAAATAATCCCTAGCGAAAGGCTGAGGGACACGGAGACAGGCATTGGGCCGGGAGGGAGTTATCTCTGGCTACGGGCACAGAGACTGAGGTGCGGGCATTGGGCCGGGAGTTATATTTATTCGGTGATCTTACTAGCAGCACACCGCGTTTACGAGACGATTTACGAGATGTTTTACGCGATGATTTATATGATGTTTTCCGCGTTATGGCTTTTGAGATATTTTTGGCATGCTAGGATTTTTATTAAATCCATCACTTATTATGCTAGTAGTTTTCATTTATATAAACTTTGGGGGTTAGTATCTTGATAACTGTTTTATTATTATTGTATATATAAACTTGGTTCACTCACCTTTGTTTTGCGCCCCCATTCAGGACTTAGAATCAAGGCACCTAATCCCGACGTGAAGACACTTCCGCAGCAGCATCTTCGGATCCTCTCGATGTAGGACCCACTTCTTTATTCATTCAATTTTATCTCAATTCTTTTTAGTGATTAGGTTTAGTTGTATGTTCTGAACACGTTCTTAAAATTATTAACTCTTATTTATTTCTTATTCTTAGCTTTTGTATCAATTAATGGCTTTCGTCACCCTCGGGTGTCGGCCAGCACGTGTCTATCCTGGTATTCGGGGAATATCAGGGTCGGGGCGTGTCAGAACGCATGTCGAGCGAGGACAAAGTCGCCCTTTTCGACGATGATCGACGTGTGGACAGAATGGACGTCATTCCACTGTGTGGAGAAGGAAAAATGGAGAACGACACCGAAGCAAAAGCAAAACGGAAGACAGACGCGTGGGCTAAAAGGGCAAAGGCGTCTTTTAGCTGTGTAAAAAATGGAAAAAATGGCTGATAACAAAGGAATTGAAGGGCAATGCAGTCCGTTCACTGTTGGTGAACAGTGCACTCTTTCACAGGATGAACAGTGATTTTCTGCTGGGCTTTAGTATATAGATAATATGGTTAAATAATATGATGTTATGGCGCCTGTGGTTGGGTATATCATGTCCAATGTGATACTGCGTGAGAAGATCTTGGTTTTGTGGAGCCATAAATTTGTTGAAGTTGTTAGAGTTTCCTAGCCGTTAAGGTTAGGTCTCCTAGTTTGTAGGGTTGTTTCAGTTGCTGTTAATAAGTCCTAGTCTTTCGGGAGAAGTTATTTGAGTTTGATTTAGTCTTGTACCACATTGTTAGGGTTGTGAAATGTGGGCTGCATATTTTTAGCTTTCAGTTCTCTTTGTAAGGCTATTTAAAAGCCATGTTTACACTTTGAATAAACACAGATATTCTCCCAGGCATTTGAGTGTTCTAGCAAATATATGTTTACGTGATCTTTTGTGAGTGTTCAACCTAGGGTTTCCAACATCTGGTATCAGAGCCCTACCACGGGGCCTGATTGAAGTTATTCTCATCGTTTAAAACAGCGTCATGACGACTGAAAGCAGTTTGTGCAACCTGCAATCCCAAGGTTTGATGGACACTATGATCATTGGAGCATGCTCATGGGGAATTTTTTGCGCTCCAAAGAATATTGGAGCTTGGTGGAGACTGTCATTCCTGCAGTAGCAGATGAGCGTGATCTCACAGATGGACAGAAGAAAACTATTGAAGATCAGCGACTAAAGGATTTGAAGACTAAGAATTACTTGTTCCAGGCCATTGATCGATCAATCCTGGAGACAATATTGAAGAAGGATATCGCGAATGACATCTCGGACTCCTTGAAGCAGAAGTACCAAGGCACGGCAAGAGTCAAGCGAGCATAGTTACAAGCTCTTCGAAAGGAGTTTGAGATTTTGCATATGAAGGAAGGGGAATCAGTGAATGAGTACTTTGCATGTACTCTCACCATAGCCAACAAGATGAGGATTCATGGGGAAAAAATGGAAGATGTTGTGGTCATCGAAAAGATTATGCGATTAATGACTTCTAAATATGACTATGTGGTATGTTCCATCGAAGAATCAAATGATCTCGACATCCTATCCATCGATGAATTGCAAAGCAGCCTGCTTGTACATGAACAAAGGATGGGGAGACACACAGCGGATGAGCATGCTCTAAAGGTGACTTATGATATTCACCAAGGCGGGCGAAGGGGACGCAGCAGTTTCCGAGGAAGAGGACGAGGAAGGGGTAGAAATGGCCCTGACAAGACTACCCTTGAATGTTACCACTGTCATGAACTTGGACATTTTCAGTGGGAATGTCCTAAGAAGGGGAAGGATTCAAAAGGCTTTTATGCAGAAACTAGTGAAGAAATGTTATTGATGGCCTACATGGATATCAAGGAGGATGACAGGGAAGAATTATGGTTCTTGGACTCGAGATGGAGCAATCATATGTGTGGTAAGAAGGAGCTGTTCATAGATTTGGACGACACCTTCAGGAAGTCTGTGAAGCTGGGGAACAACTCAAGCTTAGACGTGCTAGGAAAGGGAAATATTCGAATGGAGGTCAATGGGATCATGCAAGTCATTATTTGAGTGTTCTTTGTACCGGACTTAAAAAAAAATTTACTGAGCATTGGTCAGTTGCAAGAGAAGGGTCTTTGCCATTTTTATCAAAAATGGCAAGTGCAGGATTTATCATCCAGAAAGAGGACTGATTTAGGAGACCACAATGGCAGAAAATCGCATGTTTATCTTGCTGGCACGCACACAATTACAAGGGCAGAAATGTTTCAACGTGATTACGGACGATCAACATCAACTATGGCATCGTAGATATGGACACTTGGGTTGGAGTGGTCTAAAAGTCCTTCAACAGAAGAGTATGGTGAAGGGCTTACCAAAATTCAAAACACACATGCAAGTTTGTGAAGAATGTTTGGTAGGAAAACAACAACGAGATCCATTTCCAAATGAGAGTACGTGGAGAGCATCTCAGATTCTTCAACTCGTGCATGCAGACATATATGGGCCTATCAATCCAATCTCCAACAGCAAAAAGAGGTATCTAATTAGTTTCATTGATGATTATAGTAGGAAAACATAGGTGTACTATTTGGTTGAGAAGTTAGAAGCTCTTAGTATTTTCAAAAGTTTCAAGACTAGGGTTGAAAAGGAAACTAGTTCAAGCATAAGGACCCTACGTACAGATCATGGGGGTGAATTCACTTCCCTCGAGTTCACAGATTTTTGCAACATGCATGGAATTCAAAGGCAGTTGACAGCTGCTTACACTCCCCAGCAGAATGGCGTCGCGGAGAGGAAGAATCGAACCATCATGAACATGGTTCGAAGCATGCTTACAGAGAAGAAAATTCCAAGAACTTTTTGGCCAGAAGCAGTTAATTGGGCCATTCATGTGCTCAACAGAAGTCCAACCCTAGCAGTGAGGAATATGACGCCAGAAGAAGCCTGGAGTGGCTTTAACCATCAGTGGAGCACTTCAGGGTTTTTGGTTGCTTA